CATCTGGGATGGTGATGGACACTGGAATGAACATCTGGGACAGTGGCAGGGGTGACAGGACCACAGGGGAGAAGTGGCTGGCCATTCTCTGGAGGTCTACTGGAAGCACATTTCCCTCACCCTTCTCCCTGTGCCTGGAGCTCTGTGTGACAAAAGYGAATGAGAAACAAGTGGAAATGGGCTTGGATCCCTGGTGGGATTTCTGCATCAAAGCATTGGGAAGGAGAAGGCTGGTGGGGTGTCACCCAACTCAGTGTTTCCATGAAGAATAAATTTCAGTGGAAATCATGAGGAAAGTTTTGTGCAGGTGCTAAACAGGAGACAGGGCCAATGTGTGGAGGCTGTCGCACGGTGCTGTGTTGAGGATTCCCGAAGAGAATAATGTTGATAACAGAGTTTTAGTTAAGCCCTGCTTAACCCAAATTGAGGATTTTATAGTCTCAGGCTCTTCCAGAGAGAAGGTGCACAGGCATTTGGACAGGGGCGCTTCTATCAGAGCTGACCCAAAGTTACCAAAAGGATACTTCCTCCCATGGATCCTGATGCTCAGTGCATAAACGGAGGGGAGCTGCCCAGGTGCTGTCTGTCACTTCTCAGGTGCAGGCTCGGCGTTGTGCCAGTGCGTGGTGACAATATTRTGCATGACATCATTTTTGTTGAGGTTATTTTTTTTTACCTCTTTTTCCTTTCTATTACTATTTTTATTACTCTTTTTTTATCTCAACCCATGAGTTTTAGCCTTTTTTCCACCCCCAGGGAATGGGTATAGTCAGTGAATGGCAGTGATATTTAATTGTTGACTGAGATTAAACCATAACAAGCAAGCCTGTGCTTCACAGTGCAATAAGGAATTCTCAGGAAATCCACCCTGGTGGATTGTGAATTTACCTGAGCATCAGCTAGATCTGGGCCCTTGAACTCTCTTTTACAGTTAGAATAGAGAAGAGTATGCAAGTCAGGTCCTCTCTCTTGTCTTAGAGCAAGCAGCATCCTCCATGCTGAAGGGACTGGAGAGCGACAGCTGGTGGAGGCAGAAGCCTGAACTGGCCTTTTGAAATGTGAGGAACTGACACAAATGACAGGTTCTAGAAACAACTSAGAATAACTGACTGAAAGACTTCTTAAAATGAAGTTTTAAAAATGAATGAATCTGCAAGGTGTTCCAGGATCCTTCCAGTACTACAGGCACTACAAATATCACATATTTTCCCCTGAGTACCCTTTAGCACCTCTACCCTCCATATCCACAGTCTTTGGAAGTTCCCAGAGAAACAGTGCACAAAGTAGAGGTGCCTGAAAGTCTTTATTAATTTTTCATCGTTTTTGTTTGTCCAGACCCAAAAGAGAACTAAGGATGATGAGAAAATACAGGTGACACCAAATGAACGTCTCAGTTGGCGGCAATGGTGGACTTGATCCAAGAGACGTAGTTGCAAACCTTGGTATAAACTCCAGGATAGCCCCTCTGGGCACATCCAATACCCCAGGAAACAATGCCCTGGAGCTGTCCATTGCAGACCACGGGACCGCCGGAATCTCCCTGTGCACACAAAGGAAATGGATATTCAGCACATGGCATCAGCCTGAGCCATKAGSCAGAGATCCCTGAGATCAGGGCTCTCCAGKAAGYCCTGTCAGGCTTGTTCTGCACAGAAGTTCTRCAAAGGCCATTCCTGATTYGCACTCTCCACCTGATGCTACCACACCTGACCTTAGCTGCAAGGGAGCCACAGCTAAGGATGAGTGAGCTGCCTGGTTTTGCCTGGTTTTGCTGGATGCAGGACTTGGCAAACATTCAGGATATGTGTGCCTGAAGCCTCTGCCGTTATTCAAAACTTCAGATGTGTCAATAGAGCTGACTGTGTAATATGAAAGCCGGAGAGAAATAAATGGGAAAGGAGAGGCAGATGATTTACCTGGCAGGAATCTTTGCCTCCCTCCAGGAATCCAACACACATCATGTTCTTRGTGATCTGCCCAGGGTAGGMMTYAGAGCAWTCRGYGGMGGAGAGCACAGGAGCCTTCAGGCACTGCAGGYTGTCRGGGWAGYTGGCTACAAGGAAATAGGGAGAGATGGTTGATGGCATTGCTGAGTCACTCTCAGAGCTCAGAGAAGATCTTGGCAGAAAAGCCAGTGCTCGACATCCTATTCCAGCAGCYATCCATGTTCCTCTCAACTGTAAGCACAGCATGGATTCCTTCTGTAGAACAYRGAACAAATTCTACCCATGGRCCCACCATTCTACACTGCAGCCACCTTAACTTTTCTGGTACCTGGAAAYTCATCAATTKGCAAGTGTAGAGCCACTCCTGTGGCAMAYATGCTGGAAGAAACCTGAGCCACAGGAAAACCATCTTCTCTTCAGGCAGATTTTGATGTCATCAGTGGACAGCACATCTCTGACCACTGGCTAAAGAGAATGGAGGTCTCTAGCTGGAATT